TTACGTCACCTCTCTGGCCAGCGCCGCCAAGTCCGCGACGACGAAGCGGAGGTAGGACATGTGGCGGAGCGCCTGAAAGAGCTTCCATCGCTCAGGCCTCCAAGCCGTCCGGCGACGTCCAGGAAGAGAGCCACATACCGTTCGTGCGGGGGCGTTGTCGGCCCCATCTGGACGCGCGCTCAGCAACGCGTGCGCAACTCAGGCCACGGCGCGTCGCGGCCCGAGTCGTCGTGGTCCACGATCGTCGACCGCCCAGCCTCAGGCGACGACCACTCGTCCCACCTGAAGATCTTATGCGCGGCGTCCGCACACCCAACTTCGTAGGACACAACGGGCATGGCCGTGACGAGGTCGAACGCGTCGTAGTCCTGGTCCGCCGCTCCGCTATAGAACCGCACCGGCAGCCCCGGCTCAACCTTGGCATGCATTTCGGAGGTGGGCTCGATCACGTCGCCATCTCTCTGGCCTGTGGCCAGCGTGGTCGGGCACTCGAAGAAGTTGCGGCCCTCGGCGCACAGCAGCTGCGCGGCGGTGCAGCTGGGGAAGCGTGGGCTCGATATTTAAGTAGCCCAGGGCATGCCTCTTGACCGCTCCCCAGGAGGAGCCCGACCACAGCCCGCGGGGCTGACCGCGCGCGTCCAAAAGGCATTTGTCGGCTTCGGCGGGACATCCGCGCGGCGGTTTATCGTCTGCCGGCCCTGTCATCGCTGGATGCCCCCCTGCTGCGCTGGCCGACCTCCCTGGGATGCACGTGCAAGACCACGATGACGTCGCCCTCGTCGGCACCCAGGATGACGCTCGAGAGCGCGGCCCAGCCAATCCTCGAGAGGCTCGCGCATGCGGCCGCCACCGGGCCCCGCAAGCCATGCCGCGTAGGCTTGGCCTCCAGCCACTTCTGCTCCAACTGCCCCCGCGCCCGCTGCAAGGGGGCCGAGGGCCAGCTTGCCGCCCCGCATGAGAGAGCAGCGCTGGACAAACGGCGCCAGGGTCATTTTAGAGATCGAGCCCATGCGCGCGATTCCCTGGGTGGCCATGCACGCGGCGTTGGACCCTGACCCTGACCCCGCGCGGTCTCAACCTCGGCACTGGAGGGCCGCTGCGTGGCGCAGTTTGGCTGACCTCTCATTTGACGCGCCAGATGACATGGCGCCGTGGGCTGCCGGCGGCAAAGGGGGGCTTCAGCCAGCGCTTGGCGATCGTCCCGACCGCTCTCTTGCCGCGCGTGTCGTGGCCCAACTTGAACGCGGAGAGCCTGCGCGGCAATTTGGCCTTGGCCCCAGCTGGCCCCGAGCGTCTGCAGTCCTCCTCCGCGGTGCCGAGCCAGCCTGACATCGAGGGCTTGATCGGCGCGCCAAGCGGCCTCGCATCGTCTGCGAATCTGAGGAACGCCTCGCCGAGCATCAACCTGCCCTCGCCGACGGCCTCCCCGACCCACTGCGCGGCGAGTTCGCCCACCGAGGCCCGCTGCGCGAGGTCGTCCGTTATCGGTCGCAGTCGAAGGTCAGGCCAGGTAAGCCTTGCACCAGACGGTGCGTGAGCAGGGTGGGACATGAGATACGGCCCGACGCTTGGATGCCTTCAGCACCCGCGCCAGCCATTGACTGCCTGCCCCCGCGGGCGAGCTGCACAGCCCTTTGGGCGGGATCAGGCAGCAAGTCGTTCGTGCGAGCCAGCGGCTTTCAGACACTTGTTCCAAACTGATGCTCCCCGCGTCTGTCGCGGTCTGTCTCGCCTTCCGGGGCCTGCGGCTTCGCGGGCGACAAGCGAGTCCGGCTCAAACGCTGAAGCTGAGACATGGTCCGTTTCTGGTTGGCGTCCAAGTTGGCCCGTGGAGATCATCTGCCGCCTGGCGAGGCAGTCGCTCAACGTGGACTGGTTCGATGTGGTCAAGACAATGGCATTGGCCACCCGACTGGTGAATCACGGCTGTATCCTGAAAACCCGTCGGAGGCATCCATGCTGAAAGCTGTCCAATCTTTGTCGTTCTGCCATGTTGAGGCACGCCGCAAACACAGCGCACATCAACTTCGTCACCACGCACGCGTTGAATATCTTCACCTTCTGCTTCCTCCCTACGACCGAATGATTCCAAATAGCGTAAAATGCCAAAAATCACGCATTCCACTTCGAATCCTCGTGCCCAATTCAGCGCCCATTCTACCATCTGCTGAGAGAGCTGTACCCAAGTAAATCAGCGACTCCTGGCTGACGATGGGCTGGCCACAATCATTCATCGCTTTCTCGTTGGTCCGGACCTGTATTGTTTCGACCTCTTTCCCATTGAATTGCAGCCCCCAGTGCGCCCCGCAGCTCTCGACGCAGCACATGAGTTCCTGAAGCACTTCAGGGCTGTTGCTGATTGGGAGCACGTCGTCTGCGAGCGCCAAAACTCTCGCTGCAGCACTCGGCACTTCCCCGCCACGTTGCCTGCCCAACTCTCGATGAGCATCGCGCAGCAGGGTCTCCATGCACATCGCGAAGAGGAGCGGGGATATGGGCCAGCCCTGACATATTCCATACTGCTGCTTCCCCTCTCCAGACGTAGCGCCAGAGTCTGATGCAGAAGACACGATTGCTGCATGCGCTGAAAACCATGCACGCGAAGTTCTCCGGGCAACCGAACTTCTGCAACGCGTTGACCACATAATCCAGAGACACCGCGTCGAACGCTTTCGCCCAGTCAAGAGCCAAAGCGATACCCTTATCATCGCGCGCCGCCTACGTCTCCGCTAACGCGCGCCGCGCGATGAACACCGCATCGGCTGTGCCGCGTCCAGATCTGAAGCCGAATGGTGTCTGCCACATGCGCTGCTCTGCCCCAGCGCCATTCACGCGCTGCAGCAGTATCGCGACAAAGATCTCGCAACCGATCGGGAGGAGGCGGATTGGCCTGTAGTTGTTCTAATGTGCTGGGTCGCCCATTTTGCAAACCATCTTCACTTTTGACCACAAACCTCGGGTGCTTGGCAATTGCCCCATGCCAGATTGCAGAAGCGATTGACCCGCGCTGGGGCGGGAGCTCCGTTGTCGGTCACCGCCCGCCAAACCCAGGAGGGACGTCGTCGGGTTCTCCTGCTTTGCCTCGCTTGAATTTGCCGGCCAATTCCCTCGCTTCCCCCTCTGCGATGTCACCGAGGTTGGTGGGGGAGACGTTTGCGCGGCGCGCGTCCGTCGGGATGACCGTCGTCGGTCGCGCCGCCCATTGCACTTTTTCCAAGTGGTCGGTCACTGCACTTGCTCTATGGTCGCTGTTTGCCAAAACCCCACTCGCATGCTTCATCCTCCCTTGCAGGGGGCAGAAGCCGTTCCTAGGGTTGCGAGACTGGCCCCAGTCGTCGGTCTCAATGAGCCTTTCCATCCACATGGCCCGGTCCTTCGACGCAGCTGATTTGATGGTTTTGGCATGCCGCTTTTCTTCATCAATGTGGCCCTGGCGTCTGGCTGCAAAGCGCCTGTCTAGGAGTCCCAAGGTGGGAGGTCGCATCCAAGGCTTCCTGGCGAGGGCTGGTCTCGTCGGTGGCGCGCTCGTCGATGCACGATAAAATCCGTCAACCAGCTGACGCCGAGCCAGATTCACATCCACGTGGTCAGGTGCAGAGTCTGAGAAGTCCTCCAAAGACTAAGCAAGCGGAGAAGTGAAGTGGTGCTTTGTGGCATTCTCCATCAAGCTGCATGCATCTGGTTTTAAATTCTGCCCAGCCGGCGAAATCTTGCCCACAGTGATCCGGGCCTGGGCTTTCAGCAAAAAGTGGCACGAGGACAATGAGGCGTTTGGACGCGACCTTACGCTCCATACATGGTCCACCACTTCTGATCGCAAGCCAAGACATCAATTTGAGAATGAGTGCGCCCTTCGATATCTTGTTCAGCTGGGCAGCCGACGTTGTAGCACGTGGCCAACTGGCGCTGCGGCAACGGGAAGGAAGCATTCGCAGGACACATGCGTAGCTGAGCACATGTCTCCACAAACAAATATATGTGCGCATCGGGCTTGCAAGTGTAGCCTGGGTGAACAAAGGCACCGGGTCGGATTGCATGTCCTTCGTCATCGAACTTGCCGCGCAGCATAGAATCATAGAACTCAAATCCCCCATAAGCAGCGTTGCTGAACGTGCCGCAATGAGGTATCCGAGGACATTGAAGAAGCCATGCCCCTTCTGGTAGTCATATCCACCATGAGGCGCGCGAGCCGATATAGCGGACCGATATTGCAAACATCGCAGTCGAAGGGCAGTCCGATATGGCAGAAACGCGAGAAGCCGAGCGCGACGCGTGCATCCTGCAAAGATGCTCTGGCGCACGCACACTGGCCCAGGCTAACAACAGCGCGCGCTAATCGCCCTCGGCACGCGGAAGTGAAAAAGCAACTGCCACACTCGCACCACGTGATAGACCTGGGCCAGGACGCGAGCCTCGCCCCGCAGCGCCTGCAGGGGGACGCGCTGCAATACTGGGTGGGCGATCTCCGCCACTATGTCGCGGCCGAACGCCGAGTGCACCGAGGGCGCGCCCCTCTTCAAGCCGACGATGGAGCCGCGAGGGCGGGCTGGGATCCACTGGCTCGCACGAGGGCGACGCGCTCGCGCCCAGAGCCGAGCAGGCGTTGAGACGGGCGCGATCAGCCTCGCGCCCCCGCCCTCCCAGGGAAGCCCGACCATCGCGTTGGCGATCGTGTCCGAGGGCCAGGCGAGGAGCGCTTCGCAGCGCGCGTGCAGGAGAGCGAGGGCCCTGGACGCCCTATTCGAGACGTGCCAGAAGACTCCGGGGCACAGTCTGTGCTGGCGCAATCATCCAACTGAAGGTCAGCGTGGCCCCCGTTCACATGCCCCCCGTCGGTGGGCGCGAGGTCGGACCGCTCGCGCGCGCCCTCCGCATCGGCCGCCAACTCCGCGCCCCGACCGCGCCAGAGCGCCGCCCGCGCGCGCGCGGCCTGGTCGGCGAACAGAGAGGCGCGACCTCGACACCGACGGGTCCAAGTACCTCAAGGCGCTCCTGGGCCTTGGAAACACGGTGGGCTCTTACAGCTCCATGGGCAGAAGCGTCGGGGGCCCGGGCTCTCCACGTCGCAGAGACCTCGCAGGCGCGCGAAGCATGCAGCTCCATGTCACTGGAGACACGCTGGCCCCCCCCTCCCCGAAGTTCGGCGCAGTGAGGGGGTTCGAGGACGAGGGCGAAGAGGCGCCGAAGCTCGGGCGAGACGAGCTGCCAGCGATGCCTCGCCCCTCGCCTTGGCGACCCGCTGGGAGAAGGCGAGGAGCTGCGCGATGTTCTCGGACGTTCCAAGGGCGCGCGGGGCAGGGCCCTTGCGCCATCATGGGGAAGGGCTCGGCGAGGTGGACGCGCGCTCGCGCGGCGCGATTGGTCCGGCCGGCCGCCGAAGTCCAGGCCAACGCCTCATCCGCGGGGCGGAGCCTCTTGGCAGGGGGCTCCCGGCGTAGCCTCGCCCGAGAAGTCTATGGTGGCAACTCCCCGCCATCGCGGCGCCCTCTGGCACGACTGTCCACGGCGCCACATCGGTCGAGCAGCGCAGACTCACCCCCCCCCGAAGAGTCCACCCTGGCAGCGCTGGGGATCCTCGCCCCCGCTGGCCCGCGCCATCCGCCCTTGGGGCTGGCTCCAACAGGAGGTAATGGGGGCGGCACTTCGGGCGCCCAGGCTCGACTGGCGCGACGACTGCAAGCTCGCGCGGGACCCGTCGCCAGAACCCCATCCCGGTTGCCAAGATGGGCGACCGGAAATCGGAGCGCACCGGCAACGGCGCAGCCTCGTCGTCCTCGAGCGGACGGGTTCGCGTCAAGAGGTTCAGGGCGCAGACAGCGCCATACAGGATCCCGTCGGGCAGCGACGCCATGCGCGCGGGAACCTCGGGCGCGGCCACGATGCCCTGGACTGGCCCAGTCCATG